ACCTTCTGATTGGTTATGCTTTTCATCAGGACGTAATATTCATTTTGGCTTACGTTTTACAGACATAGCAGATTTAGCGCACCTCTTCTGATTGGTTATGCTTTTGCGTCATGACATCATGTTAATATTGACGTACGTTGTGCAGTCATAGCAAATATATATGATGCACCTTCTGATTGGTTATTCTTTTACGTCATGACGTAATAKTTTTCATATTGGATGATTTTCAAAAGCTTGAATATCTTTCTAGATTTGTTGTATCCTGCTTTTAGGAAGTCTTTTCCTGGCCTCCGTTGTGCTGTGGCAGCCCGTCATTCAGCCCAACGGAGGGGACTAAGAAAATAGCTTACTCGCAGGGTAGATTGTTTGATTACATAGGGGATTTGTGTCATTTATTTTATTTATTATATATTTTCCCTCCCCATCTTGGTCATGTAGTTCCAGCAAACATAAGYGGAATTGATCTCATCCCCACCCCCTATCGGGATGTATTTCTGTGGGCCGTGTTGTGCAACAGAAGGGAGCTTGCTAGAGTTTTGTGGGAAGCTGGTCGTGAACCTGTTGCTGCAGCCTTGATGGCGTCCAAACTGTTAAGATCCATGGCTGARAAGTCTCACACAGATGACACAATCACTGATATCAGTAAAGATCTCAAAGAACACGCCAAGTAGGTATCTGCCTTCAAACTATTTCAGTCTATGCAGAAATATCTATTACATAGTACTTATTTCTTTCAGTATTTTTGAAGAAAGAGCGACCGGGGTTCTGAATGAATGCTTTGAAGAAAACGAGACACTATCACAAACGCTGTTGGTCCGTGAGCTCGATAACTATGGGTACCTGACTTGCCTTGATCTAGCTGTATCAGGTGAAAGCCAAGACTTTATTGCTCACACAGCCTGTCAGTTGTTACTCACACGACTTTGGATGGGAGCCATGGCAATGAACACCACTTCTTTGAAGGTAATTAAGATTACCCGGCACCAAAGTCCCAATTCATCTTGGCTGGAATTAGCCCTGCGGTGGGACACACCCGAGCCAAGTGTTGATTAATTAACATCTCGGGAGTAAAAATAAGGATTGGGAAATAAATCTATTCAAAAGAATAGACGTCWAATATTGACCCTAATTTTCCCACGTCTTATTTCATGGAGAATATTTAGCAATTATTCGCCGAATATTMTCCATATTCACTGAGCCCGAGGCGAATAATTGTTTTAGCATATACCAACTTGTGTACAGAGTAACTTATTTTTATACACAATAATTCAATAAAAAAACAAACAGAAACTCATAGTTTGCGTGACAAATTCACGCAAAACTTTTAGCAAAACTTTTAGGCCATACCTCGTTGCCTTTTTAGTATTGATAGGAATGGCATTTACTTTCATTTTTTCATTTTCCTCATCGKAAATTGTAGCAAAACGATTGCCGGCAGATGCCATTTTGTTGCCGACTCAATATTCCGAGATTCATAGGTCAATATCGTACATTATTCACCTCCAATTAACCAATGAGCGCGCGCGTTCTTAGGAAGTACACAAATTGGTATATGCTAAAATAAGATATATAAGCYGATTCTCTCCTCGATTTGTTATATCTCAGTAACAGTTTGTATCCTTGCTTCCTAAGCGTTACTATGCAAAGAAGAAGGAAATACTAAATATGTAGTTTGGTAGACACGTCCGAAACTGAATAGACAGTTTAAGATTCCCGTTTTTCTTTTCTGCAAACACGACCACGTTTTCATCGTTTTCTGTATTTCACTTTACCTTTTGCAAGCCTTCTTATATTCTTGTTTTTATTTACTACTTGGAGATTTTTGCGATTCCTTTTCACTAATTTTTTTTGATGTTTCACGTTTGTCGTAAACGAGATCCTAAAACWCTCTCATAATGCAGCGCCAAAAACATCCAGTATTAAGACAATAAAATTGGACTGGCTCCCACTGATGTAACCATGGACTCAATAAAGTACATATTTGCCATATTTTATTTCGCTCTTCAGGTCATTCTGTGTATGTTTGTGCCATTTATGATTTTCCCCATCATTTACTTCGTTCCTGACGTGCATCAGGAGCGTGAAGTAGCTGCCCAAGAGCACGAAAAATCCCTGGACAACAAAGAACCTACTCCTTTGGTTCCGACCTACAAATCCAAGAAAGAGGATCTGGAGAACTTTGATGAGGAGTCGTTAGTTGGAGTTGACGAAGAAGAAGAGGCGTTTTCTTTAGAAGAGTATATTCCAGGTAGGAATATATTCCAGGTATGGTTTTCTGATCCCTGTGTAAAAGATGCCAACGTAACTATACTATAGCGACTGCTATCTAAAGAAGCGGACGGTGCTTTTATACCTGATAAAACACGATCTGCGAGTTTTTTGAACTGCTTAAAACACTCATGAACAATTTATAAGATTTTGGTTCAACTAGAGCCACYATACACGTCACGAACATGGATTTTTATACTTCGATAGAGATTTGACGTCACGGGCATGCGCAACCAGATTCAATAGAAGCTCCCACACGTTGGATATTGCGTGTCAAGGCAAAGACAGGCACGTTAGTCAAAGATTHTTAGGGTTGACTATGACCTTGATGAGGCTCTAAGTCTTCATCTAAACTTGGATGCAGTCATCCTCATAGTATTCGAGTGGTCTTTATATAAAGACACATGTGTCTTTATATAAAATCACTTGTATACTAATGAAGAGGACTTTATCGRGTATAAAGGTTCATGCACGTGACGTGTATGGTGGCTCCAATTGGACCATAAGCTTATGAATTATTAATGAGYGTTTTAAGTTTTCTTATTTTTCCATCTCAAAAATTTTTATTTTTAAGTAGTAACTCCCTTGTGAATATTATATTTTGGTGCAGTTCTGTAATTGGATATCCTATGCTTTCCAGCTGATCTAAAAAAGTGACACCTCAGTTTTGACTGAWATTTTCTCGATTCTGATTGGCTAACACTTTTTTTCTCCAATCAAATGGATACTTGSCAAATTTGTCTCATCATTTAAAGTGTGCACTGTTTTTGTTGTTGTGTTACAGAWCTAAGACAAGACAACTCAGTAGAAGTTATGATGAGATCCAAGAAGCTTGGTTATTGTCAACGAATATACGCTTTCTATTCTGCCCCATTCACGAAATTTGTRGGCAATGTGGTGAGCAGCTTCTCTGTCTCTTTACTGAATCCTCACTTCCGGGGCTCGAATCAAGGCCTCCTATGTATAAAATCTTTATAGAGGSTGCCAAGGGGGGTACCCAAATGTCGTTTAACTAATTTTTCGGGCGAATATCAGTTAACTATTGTTATAATTTTGCGAGCWCTATTAAACCAAAACAATGAAATATTAATAGCTCTAATTTAAGGTTATTTGTCCGTTCACTACCCCACTACCCCCTACTGGTGCCTTTTTATGATTATTATTAATAAAAACTATGGAAAAAATCCAACAAAAATTGAAAAAAATTCAATATTGTTTGAAGAAGTTCCCTTCCTTCAATCTATTAACCATGCAATGCCTAAGGTTTTTTTTATTGTATGTAGAACTTTTCTAATATTTGCACAACTTGTACAACGCAGTGGCAGATCTTGTATTTTGGAAAAGGCGGGAGCTTCATCAACCACTATTAAAGGCATTYTCATCCTTCTTGAATACAACTTCATGTCCACCCTACACCCCACTAGATCTGCCACTAATAAGCTTTAAGTTTCTTGTCTTTCCTATCTTTCCAAAAATGGTTGGCGGCTAACAAATATATATTTTCTGCTTAGGTTTCCTATGTGGCTTTTATCTGTCTGTATGCCTACGTCATCATGGTGAATTTTCCGAGATTTGAACCGAAAAAGTCCCTTGGCGGGATAAGCGCTGCAGAGATCTTGCTCTACTTCTGGGTTTTCTCTTTACTCATCGAAGAAATTCGCCAGGTTAGTATTGCTTGATTCCTGTCAAATTACGTCTTTACGTCTTCCAAGCCTGGCTGCCTGATTACAAACAACCTATGGTGTATCAAACTTTTACATGGTGAATCATTTGGTCGGTTGGTCGGTCGGTCGGTCGGTCGGTCAGTCCTTTGGCTAATATTTTTCAATTACATTTTTCAGTTGGCTTCCAAGGCACCCAAACATTTCTTAGACAAGGTGAGCATCTACTTCAGCGACCCGTGGAACTCAATAGACATTTTATCCATATTGGCTTTTGTGGTGGCTATCATTCTTCGCTTCTTTCCTTACGATAACACATTCAGCGCAGCCAGGATCATCCTATCCCTTGATATCATCATTTTTATCGCTCGTTCTTTGCAAATATTTTCGGTGAACCGTCATCTTGGTCCCAGGCTTGTCATGATTAGAAAAATGGTGAGTAATCAATCGTT